AGTCTGAATATTTATACATCCCTCCTGTATTCACCTCATTTATAGCAAATGAAGAAAGCTTCTCAGCTGAGAATATACCTGCAGGGCCACCCCCCAGTATTTCACTTTTAGTTACCAAGTCATTATGTGGATTGAAACTTTGTGTTGGTTTAAACCCTGGAAGCTCCAGCTCCAAAAAGAATACTACAGATAAAGCAAATATCATGATACACAAATTTTTTGTGATTTTTGTTGAGAACTTGAAATACTGCAAAGCTGAGACATGGTGGATTATTATCAAATACACAATGTAATTTGCAAAGTTTAAAATAGTAGAGCATCCACCAATTCTTTTCATAAGAGTAGCAAAGTCATGAGATCTCAATATATTTCTTTTCAATTTCAAATCAAGTTCCTGGCATTTTACTGCAACCAGATCTCTTTGAGAAATGATGGTAAACAATCTGAGAAGAGTCAAAAAAGCTCTAACATATAATTCCAAGAGTGGAGAAGATCTTAGATGCAACCACAACTTATGAAGTTTTAAATCTAAATATTCAGAAAATGTGTAGTCACTTTTACATAGCTCAGGGCTAAGTTCAACACAAGTAGAAAAGCCATCATTTTTCAAAATCAAAGTTTCTGACCATGAGCTTTGTGCATTCCAGTGTAAGGGTGATACTCCTGATGTATGCCTATATATATCATCATATCTCATATTTGGGTAAGCTATGTCTGTTCCCTCAACCATAAATGGAAGAGCATATTTATTGTGCCTTTTTCTCTCAACCATAAATGGAAGAGCATATTTATTGTGCCTCTCAACCATAAATGGAAGAGTATTGAATGCCAAAAGGCCATGCCTCTCAACCATAAATGGAAGAGTATAGAGTGCCAAAAGGCCTTGCCTCTCAACCACAAATGGATGAGTATATAATTTATGTATTTTTCTCTCAACCATGTTGAATGGAAGAGGCTCAACCAAATGGTTGGCTGCCAAAGGGCTCGGATTGAGATCAATCACTATAGAGGGTGCCCAAGGGCTAGGGTTGTAATCAACCTCACATTATACAATCTATCTGGCTTTGTT